AGAACTTTTTGATGAAAACAACATTGTGACACTATATAACCCTGCTTTATTTTAGAAAGTCAAATTAGTCATAACCGAGTTATAAGCAGTTTGATATATTTTTTTTATTTTCAAACAGACGATAAAAATCATAATTTCACTAAACAATTTGTTGAAAACTTACTTCAGTTTATTCCAATGAATGTATGCGTAACGTCATACTATTGCTCATGAAAAATAACTTAAGGGTGGTGGGGCTTTTTATGACCCCACTATATGTACTTTTATCAAATAAAATATGCAAAAAAATTGTTAATGATTTGAAATCTGAAGAAATGAACTTTAAACGTTCAATCCAGTCTCGGATATACCTACATAGTAGGTTGAATGGACTGCCGTCTATCAGCAAACAACTACTCCCTTGGCTGATACCACGAAAGGCGTTGGATTATATCCGACAGGCGTCAGTGCAGGAATCTTCACAGAAAATGTCCTGCAAATGCAATTAGCAATACAACTGAAAGAGTCGACCTTCAATTTTGGAACGGACACACTTGCAGACCGGTTTCGGGCTCATTATCCACTCGTCAGTGCAAGATATTGCCCATCATCGACCTAAAGTCAATGATATTCCATATTTGAAAATCGGAATACTTTCAGAGTATTTCATTCCTCTTCCTAAGTTGGAGGGAACAACAAAATGCCACTCCATCTAGTGGACGAGGTACTAACCAACTACTTATCCGAAATTTGCCAGATTGTTCTGAATAAGGAAGACAATCTTTCTTATTAGTCAGTGGGCTATGCTTGATGACAGGCAGTAAACAAATCCGAAGATATGAATTTCAAACGTTCAAGCCAGTCTCGGATATAGCTATCAGAAAGCAACTACTCCCCTGGATAATACCACGAAGGGCGTTGGATTATATCCGATAGAATTCTGAAAGAATTCCGATTTTCAATTATGGAATATCATTGACTTTAGGTCGATTACGGCCACTATCTTGCACTGACGAGTGGCTAATGAGCCAGAAACCGGAATTGAAGGTCGACTCTTTCAGTTGTATTGCCAATTGCATGTGCAGGAAATTTTCTGTGAAGATTCTCGCACTGACGCCTGTCGAATATAATCCAACGCCCTTCGTGGTATTAGCTAGGGGAGTAGTTGTTTTCTGATAGGCGTCAGTCCATTCAACCTACTGTGTAGGTATATTCACGACTGGCTTGAACGTTTGAAGTTCATTTCTTCAGAGTTGTTTACTGCATGTCTTCAAGCATAGCCCACTGACTAATAAGAAGGTTATTAATTTGGATGAACATTTCTGAAAAGAATGTAGAGATTTTGTGAATATTTTATAATTCCGCTGATGGAGGCTTTTGATATTCTGGGTTTGAAAAATAAAAAAAGGCAAGATTTAATTTCATTTCAAGTTAAAAATAATATTCTTAATGAAACATTATTGTTTTTGGTAAATAGCACATGAAAGCTCATTTTTTGGATGTAGTTTCCGCTATATAATTAAAAATATCAGTGGTTGAACAACATGGAATGCATATTTTTAACCACATAAATAATTAATAGATAACCGTATACAGAACATACATGTTCATAACAAAACTGAATATTATGTAGTGACTGAAAGTTGAAAGTAATAAGTATTACTTGTGTAGATAATGGATACGAAAGCAGTCCTCCTCCATCACTGGATGTTTCGTTTGATTTGGATGACTCACTTGAGGATCCACCTTATTTTGCTTCAGATGTGTCTGATCAGAATTATGATTTAAGTTCTTATACCGCTGAAGTTAATTCGAACGAATATTTTTTACTCCCATGCACCATGACAAAGGTAATGATTGTTTTATTATAATTTTTCTGTTCATAGCGTAGTTGGTGATTTTTAATATACTTAATGCAAATTAAATATTCTGTAGGAATCACAAACTTATACCGACTCTTCCAAAATAGACAAAATAGTTGATGTTGATTTAGAAAAAGATTCTAATCCTTTGGTTAGTATAATTGTTCAATGACAAAATCAATAAACTGTAGCTGGGACATTTTGTAGGAACCACAAGTTTATTCAAAACCTAAAACTGACAAGATAGGTGGTGTTGGTTCGGAAAAAGCTGGTGATACTTTGGTAAGTATAATTGCTCAGTGACATAATCAATGAATTCGAATTGATTTCGTGGAACTCTTGAATTATATTAACTACTTATATCTTCTAGTATTTATTTATTTTAAATTCAATACAGGAGAATATTTTGTAGGTACCACAATTTTGTACCGACTCTTATGAAATTGACAAAAAAGGTGACATTGGTTTGGAAAAAGTTTCCGACACTTTAGTGAGTGTAATTAATTAGTCATAATAAATTAAATAAAGTTGAATTGTTGAAATTTTCAAATTGTAACATACATATATCAATCAATGTTGAAAATTATTTTTTTGAGAAATTCACTACAGATACTGGAAAACTATCAAGTGTGAATGTAATAAGCCATATAAAACTGCCCCTTATGCTTCAATCAGGGTCTTCGGTAAGTGTTATCATCTCCTAGTTTTCCCTACAAAATATTTGCCACTATGAAAAATATATCCACTACAATCATTCATTTTGCATGATAAGTGTTGGTGGTTTGACCAATCAACCGACAACTGCGGTAGCCGAAATTTGGGAATCTAACCTGAAATGCCATCGGAAAACGAATCCACATGTTTCTAGAAATAATATGAAATCTAGAAAGGTTAATGCAGTCAATCTGCTGGAAAATAATTCCATGAAAATCTAAAAATAAATAGATAAGTACTTTTTGATCATTCCCATATTGATTTCAATTTGAGAGCCATTGGTAGACAGCTGTTTCAGCCTATTGGGCATCGTCAGTGCCGGGCAGGCGGTCCTCGATTGAAGACAGAATGTCGATAGTCATCGTCGTTTTAATCAGGCTGGAGCCTTGCTCCCTTACCCTTTGGACTGGTTTTCGTCAGAGGGACAAATGGGTCATGACTGATTCTTGATGGTGGCATGAAAGTCCTCAAACATCCATACCACCCTTCGCGGTGTACCCCTACCTGGCTGGGGTGAGATAGATGAAGATATTATTCATCTGTTACCGGAGGACATAGAGGCCTCATTCGACAGAGTGTCGGGGCCTTCTATATCGAGAGGGGTCGTCTACAGCGTAATCTATAGCTTCCCTGACTAACGAAGACAGAATGTTAAAAACCAAGGAAGTAATTGATAAAAATAGCTGCGTAAACGCAAGCGAAACATAAGTTGAACCACCTATTGGTGTGACACCAATAGGTGTCAAGTCAACTTGCCAAGTTTTTTATGTCAGTGTTGGTGGTTTGACCAATCAACCGACAACTGCGGCAGCAGAAATTTGGGAAGCGAACCTGAAATGTCATCGGAAAACGAATACACATGTTTTTAGAAATGATATGAAATCGAGAAAGGTTAATGCAGTCAATCTGCTGGAAAATAATTCCATGAAAATCAACAAATGAATAGATAAGTACTTTTTGAATATTCCCATATTGATTTTGATTTCAGAGCCATCGGTAGGCAGCTGTTTCAGCCTATTGGGCATCGTCAGTACCGGGCAGGCGGTCCTCAATTGACGACAAAATGAAAAAAAACCAAGAAAGTACTTGATAAAAATAGCTGCGTAAACGCAAGTGAAACATAAGTGTAACCACCTATTGGTGTGACACCCAAGTCAACTTGCCAAGTTTTTTATGTCAGTGTTGGTGGTTTGACCAATCAACCGACAATGCGGTAGCAGAAATTTGGGGAGCTAACCTGAAATGTCATCGGAAAACGAATCCACATGTTTCTGAAATGATATGTAACCTAGAAAGGTTAATGCAGTCAATCTGCTGGAAAATAATTCCAGGAAAATCAAAAAATAAATAGATGAGTACTTTTTGATCATTCCCGTATTGATTTCAATTCAAGAGCCATCGATAGACAGCTGTTTCAGCCTATTGGGCATCGTCAGTACCGGGCAGGCGGTCCTCGATTGAAGACAAAATGAGAAAAACCAAGAAAGTATTTGATGAAAATAGCTGCGTAAACGCAAGCGAAACATAAGTGAAACCACCTATTGGTGTGACACCCAAGTCAACTTGCCAAGTTTTTATGTCAGTGTTGGTGGTTTGACCAATCAACCGACAACTGCGGTGGCAGAAATTTGGGAAGCTAACCTGAAATTTCATCGGAAAACGAATCCACATGTTTCTAGAAATGATATGAAATCTAGAAAGGTTAATGCAGTCAATCTGCTGGAAAATAATTCCATGAAAATTAAAAATAATTAGATAACTACTTTTTGATCATTCCCATATTGGTTTCAATTTAAGAGCCGTCGGTAGACAGATGTTTCAGCCTATTAGGCTTCGTCAGTACCGGGCAGATGGTCCTCAATTGAAGATAAAATGGGAAAAACCAAGAAAGTACTCGATAAAAGTAGCTGCGTAAACGCAAGCGAGACATAAGTGGAACCACCTATTGGTGTGACACCCAAGTCATCTTGCCAAGTTTTTTATGTCAGTGTTGGTGGTTTGACCAATCAACCGACAACTGCGGTAGCAGCCAAGAGGAATCTTATTTGAATTGAAGGGGTTATATTTTCAGGAGTGATTGATTTTTGGGAAAGAAAATTTTGGCTTTCTATTACTCCATCTTGATACAAAACTTTCTTTCTCAAAAATTAATCACTCCTAAAAATATAACACTTTCAATTCAAATATATATTTTTTTTTAGAAAAGTCTAAATTTCTTTCAAATGTTGGGATGAAACTCCAGTGATAAGTATCCATAATAAAATAATGAAAAAATAATTTTCAATGATTAGAAGCCTTTTAATTTCGGTGAGAATATAATAATTATCACACTTGATGAAGAATTTTGTTCACCGATCACTGTTCATTCATCCATATAGTAGGTGCCTGAATTTTTTCAAATCGTAATTTCGAAATTCAAAGAGTTGAATTGATATTTTTTTTACCCGTTTCAGAGCGTATTTTCAACCCTCTGTGAAAATTATAAATATCGATCCCATACTGCTAATGTATTAGACTTTTTTTGGAAACTTTCTACTCTTTTTGCATCTTTTCCAAATTTGAAAAATGTCAAATAATTTCTGAGATACTTGCAATAAATTATACCCCTTCTTTCAGTTAATTGTTTATAACTTTTGCAATTTTTGCAAGCGTCACTTGAATTTTTTCAGTAATCGTATACTTACACGCTATTCCGAATCGAATAATACCTTGCTCATATTTTCTGGACGCGGAGAAAAGAGTCCATGATACTACTTTTGTAGCATGCTCAAAAATAGTTCAAGCTACCAAGGAGGCAGCTCATTTACAAAAATGAAAATCCTTGCGTTTCTTTATTTTCCTTCTGTTTCAAGAAAAGTAATGATATGATAATGAAGCAATATATACTTCAGGAAGAAAATTTTTGTTTCATTTATTTTTGTTTTACGATCTAATAAATTTCATTATAAATCACAAGAGATATCTGTGTTGACAATACATTTAAATCAAATGGTCAATAAAATTCGAGTAATTACTTCACTTCATTTCAAAAGCGCCTTCGACTGCTATGAAAAGGGTAGTTTCCCAAGTATCTTCCATGCTATTAAAAACACGTTGAGTAATACTTTTTTTATGACTACATCCTGTGAACACTGATTGTTATATTAACTACGTTCGTAATAAAATTGTTATCTTCCATGGCATGGTCACTTCATCAAAATAAAGATGTTTTCTGAAAAGTATCTGAAACTTGAGTGTTTATTATTTAATGGAAAATCTGAGATTTTCATTTGAATGATTTACCTGTTTACTGTTTTGTTTATGGATTAATTTAGTTTTTGCTGAACTCGTATATGAAGGAAAGTTTTATTTGAATATTCAATTCAATCTTATTGACATGTTAAGGCTAATTCTGTACTCTCGATACAAAACAACTCGTCGCTTTATTAAAAAAGTAGAAAATGTTTTCTAGGCTTCCATTCGCTGATGTCATGTACTGAATGCAAGAAGCAGAAGAATGTTTATTTTCCTCATTGATACTGTAATACTGTCTATTGAGATTTTCTATTTGAACTCGACAAATTGATCCTTCACGAGTGGTGAATTATTTTTCCCAACATACTTGTATTTTTTCAAGTTGTTGGATAGATAACTTTTTTCGAATTCCGTATTCATTTGTTTTCATAATGTTGACAAATAAATTTTGAAAAAACAATTACAAACAATATTAGTTCTAGGAAAACAGTTGATTTATGAATATATACTAATTATTCATGAAAACAAGTTCAAAAATATGTAATGGATGGATGACTTGTTCATTTTGTGAAGGGTGAAGACCTACATGGAAATTAACAAATCAAATAAAAACTCGAAATATATACCCCTGAATGAGCAACTCGATTCTGGCAGGTTTGATTTTTGCCTTTTATTTTCTTTATGTATTATGTCGTAGTCCAGTTGAAATCGTGATTAATCTCTAAGCTAATCTCTTAAGCTCAAAATTTTCATTGTAAATTTCATTTGTTGGGACTTCCACTGGCAATATAGTTAAAATAAATAAAATTGAAATGAATTGCTAAAAATAGCAATCATATTAAGCAAAAACCCGAAATAGACTTACAATGGAATAAAATACAAGCAACAATTGGAAGTGAAACAATTAGAAAGAAGTTAAAATTTAAAATATATCGCGCCAAGTTACTTCACGACGTTTCGATTGTAAATAATCGTGTAAATAATCACACGTTGAAAGGTAAGACCTCGTTGGTCCTTGCACAAATTTCGACTTCTGAAGGTTGTCGTTCGAATTAATAAAATTCACCATGAACATTGTTAACCACCTGCAAACAAACAAAAGTTTTATGTTCGATTTCCGTTCTGAAATCTATTGAAGTCTTTCGTATATAAATGTTTAGGAACGATTCACATGCAAGTTTGTAGACCTCTGATTTGTTATTATCGTCGATTTCTGACTTGTTCTTTATATGTCTACCCGAAGAGTTTCTAGTCTTATATGCCGTCTTGATATTTCCTTTTATTAGAAGTCTATTCATTCCATCTGATAATTTTCCTACATATGTGATTGTTTC